AGAGAGAGGAGAAAGAGAGATGGAGAGAGGTAGAGAGAGAGAGAAGGAGAGAGAGGAGAGAGAGGAGAGAGAGAAAGAGAGAGGAGAAAGAGAGATGGAGAGAGGTAGAGAGAGAGAGAAGGAGAGAGAGGAGAGAGAGGAGAGAAAGAGAAAGAGAGAGGAGAGAGAGATGGAGAGAGGTAGAGAGAGAGAGAAGGAGAGAGAGGAGAGAGAGGAGAGGAAGAGAGAGGAGAGAGAGATGTGGAGAGAGAGAGAGTGAGGAGAGAGGAGAGAGAGAAAGAGAGAGGAGAGAGAGAGATGGAGAGAGGTAGAGAGAGAGAGAAGGAGAGAGAGGAGAGAGAGGAGAGAAAGAGAAAGAGAGAGGAGAGAGAGATGGAGAGAGGGAGAGAGAAAGAGAGAGAGAGGAGAGAGGAGAGGAAGAGAGGGGGAGAGAGGGGGAGAGAAAGAGAGACAGAGAGAGAGGATAGAGAAAAAACGAGAAAGAGAGAGAAGAGAGAAAGGGAGGGAAAGGAGAGAGGGAGAGAAAGGAGAGAGAGAGAGAGAGAGAGAGAGAGAAAGAAAGAAAGAAAGAAAGAAAGAAAGAAAGAAAGAAAGAAAGAAAGAAAGAAAGAAAGAGAAGGAGAGCGGGTGGAACTCTAGCTCCCAATACTATCAATAGGCGAGAGAGCCCCCAGCAACTAACCCTGATCCGATATGGCTTTTTTTTTCCAACCACCTCTATGTTGGCTTGGAAGTTTTTAAGAAGGCGCTGCCATTCACATCCAACCAACATGACTCGGGAGTGCGCCAAACTCATCCCTGCATCCGAGAGGTTGATGAGCCAAGGTAACCATAGCAACTCACAGGGAGGCCCAAAAAAAATGTGTGCAAGTGGATATGATGATAAAGGAGCTCAGCAGAAAACAAGAGGCGGGGGTGGGGGGGGGAAGAAGGGCTGCTGAGGCAGCAAATGCAGAGGTGGTGGGGAAGAACGTCGAGGCCAGGTGTTGGAAGCGGGCGGCTCGCGATGCAAAAACCTTTGCAGAGAAGAGGAGGAAGGTCGAGCTATTCCCCCAAACCCCCGAGGACAGGTCAAGAAGCAACGGGGGGAAGCTTATCCAAGAGAGATCCAACCTAGAATTAAGGAGAAAGTCCCGTCAATGAGAACAAGGGGCTGCCCCAAAGAAGAGGGAGTCAAGCTATCCTCCAAAGCACCCAAAGGCAGAACAAGAAGCAATGAGTAGAAACCAATCAAGGAGCAAAGTCTGGAATTAAGGAGAAATTTCCTGATAGATAGGACAATTAATCAGTGGAACAGCTTCCCCCCCAGGAATCGCGGATGCTCCAACATTGGAGGTTTTCAATAAAAGATTGGACAAACACTTCCAGTGAAACAAATATGTCAACATATCCTTCGCTGCGTCCTTCTTCCTCAAGCCCGTTTCTGTCCTGCAGGCGGGCCAAGAAACACATCGATAAATCCCTCTAAAGCGCAAAAAAAATCTTGGCAGCCTCCAGCTTTAGCAGCTCCAAATATGGAACGTTTGCTTTCCTGGTTTCAGAGAACGACAACTGTTGCGGCTTCTCCTGCTTTTTAGCTTTGCTTTGTGACGCTAAAAATGCGAGGAAAATGAAAAATAAAAATAAAAACACAAACGTTTCCATTTTGTGCCCGCTTTTAAATCTTCTAGGTCAGTGGGACTCGTGCTTCAACTTCCGAAGAAGCCAAGAGGACTGCAGGAACAAGGAGAGAGATGACAGCAGCAGAGGTGCCAAGGAAGGGGTCCTGGCACACATCCAACCCAACCTGACGCTTCTGTGAATTGGTCTTATGCTGACAGCCAGGTGCCTTTTGATTCCCCTCAGCAAGGAACAAGGGAGAAGGAGAACATGCAGAGGTGGGTTCCTANCACTCCCATCCAATCACATGGGCGGCAAGCCACTCCCACAAAGGAGGCCACACCCACAGAGTAGGTTCGAACCATTTTTGAAACCCACCACTGGATTGTGCATAAAGAAAGTGGGAGAAGCCAAATGCTGGTTTGGAGAGTCACGGAAAACGGGAATGAACGCCATCCTGGGAACAAAGACCTTTTTTCCTCTTCTCTGGTTGAGAACGGTTGTTTTAAGGTATGACATGTTCCTCTGTGGTTGGCGCTTCGCTCAGTTTTAACCGATGACTGCCTAGACCGGTGATCACCATCCGGTGATCCACAGATCACTGGGGGTCCGTGAGAAAATTTTGGCGGTTTGCAGAAAAATTATTTGCAATTTTTATTTTGCACTAAATACTATTTATCTTTTTTTTTTTAAATCGTATTAGTGTTCCGCGGGATTTAAAATTATGAATTTAGTGGTCTCTGAGGTCCCAAATGTTGGTGACCCCTGGCCTAGACAACTCCCTGCGATCATCCTGGCAACCCTTGCGGCCCTTTCCTTCTTTCTAGGGCTGAGAAAGAGTGACTGGCTCAAAGCCTCCCACCCGTGCCTAAGGCAATGGGTAAGCCCAGGGGATTTAATCACGTCGCCAAACTCGTTCCTTACCTTACATGCGTCGTAATCTTTGCGCACGTAGTACAGGTGGATCAGCCAGTTTCTCTTCTCCAGAATGGGAAGGTCGGGCACTGCGGAAAAAACACGGGAAGAACAAATCTTTAGTGCAGGGTTTCTCAAACCTTAACAACTTTTAAGATGTTGGGATTTCCCAGCCAGCGATCTTAAAACCTGCCACGGTTGAGATTTAAATAAGTCACTGACTCAGGCTTCCAACCGGGGTGACATGAAGCAAAATTTGCTTTTCTTGCTCCAACGTGGCAGAAGGCGCCAGCAGGAGTCAGAGGCCGTGCTATGTAGGGGGAGAAGATTTTTGAAAGATTGGAGAGCCAGTGATGCTGAAGATGTCCTGATAGTCATGATAACCACTGCACTATTCCTATCAGATACAGATCAGATACATCTGATCAGATACATCTGATAAGAGCCAAGGTGGCGCAGTGGTTAAATGCAGCACTGCAGGCTACTGCTAGATCAGCAGTTCAGCGGTTCTAATCTCACCGGCTCAGGGTTGANCCTGAGCCGGTGAGATTTGAACAGCCGAACTGCAGAACTGCAGTCAGCTGAAGTAGCCTGCAATGCTGCATTTAACCACTGCGCCACCTTGGCTCCAAAGATCGGTGACTGGCGTTGCCGTCCAACATTTCTGCAATGTTCCAGTTGGTAAGGGGTGATTTATACGTGGTTCCCTTTACCTAGGGCGGAGGTTAATCAGTGATGCCCAATCAATTCTCTAACCGGAGGGGTCTTAACTGCATCACATGGTACATAATCCAGATACCGTATCCGAAGGTTAGAGGCCTATTTCTTCCCTTAAGCAACGCGGAGCAGGTAGTTTTGAGATCTCTGTATTCCCAAACCACTGTTATTGTCTCCGTGCTTAATGTTCTCTTTGCTCACTTTTTTCTCTCTCTTCCCAACAGCCACCGGAATCAACTCTAAATCAAACAATAAACCTGTGTGGCTTACAGTTATTTACAGTCAACTGGGTTTAATAAAACCCGTCATAAACAATTCTGAGGCTTGCACACAAAGCTGTAATTTATCGCGCTATCCTGTATTAACAGTCCCCGTACACCAGAAAGGCAAAAAGTGTGATTGAAATGGGAGCAGGAGGGAGGGAGGGAGGGGGGAGAGAGAGAGAGAAAGAGAGCATTTAAGCAAACAAAGAAAAAGAAGGTATTTTCTGACTCTGTATCTCCCCTTAGTGGAAAACAAGCAGTATGGCAAAATCTCTTTTTTCTTTCCAGATTTTATACAGCATGGAGACTTTCCGCTGTTATTAGAAATCATTTATCTCTTAATATATTGGTAGTTCGCGACTTACATCCATTCGTTTAGCAACTGTTGGAATTCACAGCGGCACTGAAAAGGGTTATTTATGGCCGGTCCTCGCACTTACAGTGCGCAAGGCACCCCCATAATCATTTGATCAAAATTTGGAGCGCCTGGCAACTGTCGTGAATTTACGATGGTTGGAGTGTCCCGGGGTCATGCGAGCATCCCGTGCGACCTTTCCAGCCAGTTTGGGGGGAAGCTGGGTTCGCTTAACGACCGCATGATTCAATGAACGAGTAGGGTGAACCAGTCGTTAATTGAATCCACGGTGGCGCAGTGGTTAGAGTGCAGTACTGCAGGCTACTTCTGCTGACTGCCGGCTGTCTGCAATTTGGCAGATCGAATCTCACCAGGCTCAAGGTTGACTCAGCCTTCCGTCCTTCCGAGGTGGGTAAAATGAGGACCTAGATTGTTGGGGGCAAGAGGCTGATTCTGTAAACCGTTTAGAGAGGGCTGGAAAGCCCTGGGAAGCAGCATATAAGTCTAAGGCCTCCTCCGGGTGCCGTTGGCCGGACAATGCCGA